CCAGAACTCTGTTGTTCTTAAGTTGTGCATATATCATTATTTACCTCTGTCTCACTTAGCCCATTGAGACCTGTCTAATTGTTCTCCCATCTGCTTTGTTCTTCTATTCCCCTCTCCCTACTTATATATTGCCCCCTCCCTATCACCCAAACTATCCTGTGTCTAAACCCTGCCCTGTGCTCCACCTTCCCCTCCCTCCCTTCACCCACCCCCAACATCCCAATAATCAACAAAGAATCCCTCCCACCCCCCTTTAGTATGGGTTCTTTCCCTTAGTCTTTTACAGTAGTGGTCCTATGCAGTATTTCTCTTTTTGTGACTAATTTCGCTCAACATAATGTTCTCAAGGTTCATGACATCAAAGGAGCTTAGGTGGAGAGGCAAGCAAGGACTAACAGGTTATGCCACATGAAGATTGCCAAAGAACCACTGAGAAGCTAAAGAAAAACAAAGGACCTTCCCCTAGAACCATTACCCTGACGTCAGACTTCCAACTTCATAAACTAGGATAAAATCGGTTTCTGTGTGCTAGCCACCCACTTGTGGCATTGGTCTAGCAATGGTCTAAGACAGTGACTCAGGAGGGGGAGACACAATTCTCATGAAGTGCTCTTTGACATCTCTGCCATGAATACAAGTATATGTTACTCTTCCAAATAATGACAATGTGAAATATGTTTATTCCTAGTCTTTACTTACACATATCATGATGAGACCATTAGCTCTGGTGATCCAGTAAGGAGACCTGGCCCTCAGCGTTCCACCTGCATCAACCCAACACAAGGCCACTTCAGCTTTATCCTCTTGTGTCTTCTCCTGCCCCATGCTCTCGTTGAAGTTGCCACCCACCCTTGCATCCCAAGAGCATCTTTTCCCAGGAGTTTCTACTTTGAACCATGGAGCATGGAGCTAAGCAATAATAAATTGTCTGGCTACTTTGGGTTGGTCATGTTGTTGTCTCCTTTGCATCATCCCATTAAAAGGGCCCCTGCAGTCCTCCGGTGTGAAAACAAGAGTTGGTTCCTTAACGAGAGGTGTGGTGAGGTTGTAGCACAGCCAGCTCGGGTGAAAGAGCACCATGGTCACACCCAACATCACCCAGTCCGGTCTCAGCATGTCTGTCCTCTAGCAGGGCGATGGGACAACCTCCGTCCAGATGTTGGCAGGACAAGGTGGACTAGATAGCTGGGGTGATGGTCCTGGTCCTAGGCTGCTGGCACTGTTTACAGAGAGAGCCTTCACATTCATACCTGTGGGCCACCGAGTCCTCCTGAGCCCTGCACCCTCCTTGTTCCTAATCACTGTAATCTGATACCAGGATGGTGGCTCTAGATGAAAACCAGCCGCTGACAGTTCCTCAGCCTACAAAGTGTTTCCCCGCCACTTGCCCTGCTGAGAATCACAGTTAGCTAAGAAGGTGGCAGTTAGCATGATCCTGTTCCAGGAGGTAAGTGGAGGCCAGGTCTGAGGTCTAACCACAGGCACTCAAGTTCACAATTCTGCTCTGCTCTGTCTGCAGTCAAGCTGGCGATTTATCCAGACAGGAACTCCCAGGCTGCGTGCTCCTGGGGCCAGGACCCAGCTTCTGCCTCAAACACAGTAGGTGGGTGTCTGACTGAATGGCTTTGAAAACAAAAAGAAGGAGCACTCTACAATACAGGGGAGCTTCAAACAGCCTGTGGGAAAAACCCATTCTTTTTCAAATGGAGACTGTCTAAAAGTCCATCAACAGAAGAATGGTTGGATACACATTAGTACCGACACAATGGAATACTACCCAATGTTGAAAAGTAACAATGAATCTGTGAAACACCTCACAACCTGGAAGAACATGGAAGACAGCATGCAGAGTGAAATTAGTCACAAAAGGACAAATATTGCATGAGACCACTGTTGTAAAAAGTTAAGAAAAGATTTTCTTGATAAAATTACAGTTGATGGGGGGAGGGAAAATTATTCATTTGCTAGAGAGTAGACACATATTAACATGGGTGATGGGGTTGGCAGTGGAAAAATGAAGGTAACGGGAGACACAGGGAGGAATGCCAGAGTGAGAGTGAAAGAGGTAAATACCGTTAACTGAAGGCACATGGGGGAGACTGCAATCACTATTATGAAGCAAAGTATAGGGTTCATTGAACGTAAAACTGACGATCTGCTCTGTAAACCTTTACTCAATTCACAATAAAACATTTTTTAAATCCCATTCTTTTGTAACTCCATCTTCCACAAACTTTTTGAAGCTTCCCATATAGTTTGATCTTTGTAGCATGAGACCACTCGGGAGTCCTCCTCAGAAACTGATGAAAAAGGTAAACCAACCTGACCCAGGCTCAACAGTGATTCCCACTTGCTGGGGAACATGAAGGCAGGACCTATATATCCTTTCCTATGCCGCAACCCTGATCCCAGTCCCTCCCCACAAGCACAGGAGATACTTTGCCCAGGTGAACTGAAGTGGTGGTGGTAGTGTGCCGTGGAGTTGGTTTTGACTCATGGCGACCCTGTACAGGGTTTCTGAGGCTGTAAATCTTTACAGGAACAGAAAGCCTCATCTTTCTCCCACAGAACAGCTGGTAATTTCAAACTGCTGACCTTAAGGCTCGCAGCCTGATTCCTAACCACTACACTACCAGAGCTCCTTGTGAACTGAAGTAGTAACTAACTAAGCTTAATCACTAACTGTTGTTGTTGTTGTTAAGAGCCATTGAGGCGGTTCCGACCACCCACAGCAACTCTCTATGGGGCTTTCAAGGAGCAACTGGTAAACTTGAACTGCCAAACTTTCGGCTCAAACCAACTTTGCAGTCTAGCACATTAATCCACAGCGCCACAAGTTATGGAACTTCTGCGGCTGGCTCCTCAGTGCCAATGGCATCTGTAGTGGCTCTGACAGAAACCCAGGCAGCAGCTACAGAAAGCCAAGAGGCCTCTGTCCAACCAGACGTGGAGCTGGTGAGACTTGCAGGACCCCGGGGGGGGGGGGGGAGAGGGGCACTTCACAAGCATCTAGAGGGCACTTTAGCATGTGGGATGAAGACTAGAACATGGGACCCAAGGGATGTAGTTGTTGGTGAGTGTCGTCAAGTCACTTCCGACTCATAGAGTGCCTGTGTGGGGTTTCCAAGGAGTATCTGGTGAGTTTGAACCACTGACCTTGTGGTTCCAACCAACCCTGTGGTCCAGGGCTTATCCTACAGAGTCACTGAGTATATAGAACAGAAAGTAAATCATGAAACTGTGAGGGTGCAGCAAACACCCCATTAGTCCCGACTATGTGACCTGGGTTGATCATTGTGTCACTGATAGGCTTGGGTCCTATGAGAAAATGATGGGGTAGCTCCTAACGGGGTAGGACCCTCAGAGACATGGTGCTGCTCAGATGACAATCTACATGTTCTCTCAGGAGCTTCGTTCACAAAAAGAAAGACTGAATGTTTCCATGGCTACAGAGGACCAATTCAGAATTCGACAGGGGTTCCAGTCATTGAGGCTGCATGCTGGGGGCAGTGATCAGATGCTGTCCACTTCATCAACACCATCTCATGCCTACAATGGGAAGGAATCTGAGTACGCGCTGGCACGTGAGTCACTGGGCATCTAAGAAAGGGGGGTCAGGGAGAGAAATGGACAACACAACATTCACTCATTTACTGATTTAAATTGCACTGGAGAGTATTTCTTTTCTTAATAGTATAGAAAGAAGGAAAAAGGATTAAGAGTTATGTTTTGCTTTTATGAAGATTATTGCAAAAGTCGTCGCGTCAGTTCTGACTCATAGCGACCCTGTATGGGGATTCCAAGGAGGAGCTGATGGGTTTGAGGTTCAGGAGCCCTGGTAGAGTAGTTGATTATGAGTTGGGCTGCTAACTGCAAGCTCACCAATTCAATTCTACCAGTCACTCCATGCGAGAAAGATGAAGCTTTCTACTCCCGTAAAGAATTACAGTCTCAGAAATCTTACACAGGGTCGCTGTGAGTCCGAACCAACTTTACAGCACACAACCACCACCTTGAGGTGAGCAGTCCAGTGCTTATCCTACAGCACCACACCAGGACTACAAAATAAAACTCTCATTAACGATCCTTTGGAAGGTTAGTCTCCTAGAGAAACCTTGCTGTGACTTTTACTTAGAAAGACTATTGTTTTGTGCCATAGAGTCGGTTCTGACTCACAGGGACTAAGGAGTGACTGGTGGGTTTCAACCACCAGTCTCTGGTTAGCAGTCCCGTGCTTTCTGTATCATCTCTGCTTAAATATACGGGTGGGCACAGGCTTCTCCTGCCCTGCCTTGACTGAGCTGTGAGACTCTGGAGAGAAAAGGAGAAGCTGAGAACTCTTGGGCTCCAGACAGAAAGTAATCAGCACCCTGTTGTTGTTGTTGTTGTTGTTGAGTAACATTGTGTCGTTTCTGATTCATAACGACCCTGTGTAATATCTCTGAGGAGCAGCTGGTGAGCTGGAACCACCTACCTTGTGGTTCAAACTGACCTTGTGATCCAGCGCATTAACCCCCAGCACCACACCAGGATGCCTGGTGCCCCAGAATCTAGAGGGTCATCTTATCAGAGCATAAAGGAGAACAAAATAAGGAGCTCAAAACCCACCTAGGTTAGAGGTTTTCAAGCAATCGTGATGACAGCTTGACACTTTTCAAACACACATTCAAAAGCAATGACATAGGATACAGATAAAAATAGAATGGATAGCAGGTTCTCCGGGCAGCTGAAATCTGTAGTGTGCATTAGAAATTGCTTTACGCCTATTAAAGTCCTGGAGTCTGCCAGCAGACACCTCCTGCCCTTACCCCTCCCCCCTGAGGAAGGCAGCAGAGGTCCAGAGGACGGCCTGGCATGCTGGAACCACAGCTCCTGGGGGCCCTGGCTCCTGTCTACCATAGGGAGCCTTGTGTCCGAACACAGAACACCACCTGGCTGTCAGTGCAGCCTTCACCTGTGCCCTGAAATGCTGTGGTCACTCTCAGCCCTCCCTTCAGACCACTGTCCTCTGCCAGCGTCACACCACAGTGATCTCAGGCTCTGGGCTGGCTACAGCCCTCCACACAGCTCAGAGCATGTCTCTCACCTGTGAGACAAGGAACTTTCACACCCATTTTACAGGGGGAGCAATTAAGGCCCAGAGAATTGAGGGGAGAACACAAGACAGCCCATTTGGAGGCTGAGCCAGGGAGCCCCCCAGGTCTAACGTGGGGTTCTAGAATCCTCCCCCTCCCTTTCCCCCTTCCTGGTCCCCTTCCCCAGATACATAAAAGGCAAATTTAAGGACAACACTTTAGTAATGACCATTCTTTTCCACTTCAGCAAAGTCCATGGCTTTGACAAGTAGTGATTTAAGGAGTCACAAGCAGGAGAAACTGAAAGAAGGACTTGTAAGGTCTGCAGTTTTGAGGGGGCAATCAAGAGGAGTTCTCGTGCCTACCTTTCGCCGATGGGATGGCACAATAAAAAATGTTTTGATATTATGCGTTTTCAAGAAACTGTTCCTCTCATGTCCATAACCCGGCTCCACCTCGTAGTCCCCGTTCAAGCATTCGAGAGTCGTCTTTGTGATATGAACCTTCCTACAAAAAAGGAGGCAGACATGTGGAATGGCATCGTGGACCACTGCTACACAGTACCAGTGGCTCTGCTGTGGGCCCTGGGCCTGGACTCTCATCTGGGCTGGTCTGCATCTGGGGTTACAGGACCAGGGGCCCCCACTCCCTGGGCAGCATATTTCATGGGACAAGCTGTATTCATGGCATGCATGTCACCTGAGAAGAGACAGGCACAGGCAGACAGTGGCGTGAGAGGCAAATCTGGCACGGGGGTGGGGGATTACGAGTGTGGCTGGCAGAAGGCAAGGGGAGAAGGGAGGAGCTGCAGTGAAAAACAATCAGAGCTCACAGAAAATGAGAACAGAAAACATGCACGTGAGGTGAGAAAAAGAGAAAGGACTTGGGGTCTGTCCCCAGAACCCACAAGGCACAACAACACCCTGGGGGTCCTGCCTAGCCAGCAGAAGCCAGCTGGACAACATGCGGCCACACAGAGGGTCCGGTGACTGGGGATGGGATCCCATCCAACACACCTTCATGTGCCCCCATATATAAAAATTACCCATCTGCATGGAAAATGCAAACATAAAACTCCCCACCTGACCTCCCACAAAACCTGGGGAAGACACACAGCTTCCACTCCTGGGGAAAGAGATCTGAGCATACGGTCTCTCAGGCCCCAAACAAGAGGCCTGCCTCCAAACTCGCTCCAGGCCCCTGACAACAGTGCTCAGGATTCTGAAATCATTGCCGGAATTAATCTGGACTCTCACGACTATGCTCTATGGTTGCTGGAGGGCCCAGAAGGGGCTGGTGAGAGGCCTGCTGAGAGGGTAGATGGGCTCTAGGATCAGGAGACAGTCCTGTCAGCTCAGGAGTTCCTATTAGGATCACGGGATAAAAGTCTGCAAGGGGCCCAGAGGGAGTTAAAGCCAGCCCCCGACTCTAGTTCTTCTCAGTATCACACCTGTTCACCTGTACACTTGACCCACCACAGGTTCCCGGCAAGTCCTGGGCTGAGCACCCAGTTCTCCCACTGGGGGGCCTAGCCAGTGACCCGATGGGCCCAAAGCATGAGAGGCATTCATACCAGAGCTGCCCCATCCTTACAGTTGGCTAGTCTCTCCCCATGGCCCTGTGGGGGACCACAAGACCAACCATTGTCCTATTAGCTGGCCCTGACCTGCACTGAGGACAGACAAGTGATCTGGAAGATTCTGGTATTTATGTACCTAACCACTTGTTCATCTGGTCCTTCATTCATTCGACAATCGGCTGACCAACTGCAGGATGCCAAGTACTCTGTGAGAAGCAGAGGCTCTGGAGCACCTGAGGGACTCTGCAGGTTCATCCCAGCCAAGGTGGAGTGAGTCTGGAGGAGAACTCATCCGAGGCCTCTGACCTGCCCTCACTAGCCCACCCATGCAAGGGAGGTGGGCAAAGCAGGGAGAGGGTCCTCCTCCTTTCCTGCACTCATACCGCACACCTAAGATTCTTAGCCTGAGACTGTGCCAGGAGCTGTCTCCACATCCACAGGTGTCAGGCACAGGTATGTTCTAGTCCTCCAGTGCCAGAGCCAACAGAGGGGCAGCCCCCAAGGGCCAGGGGCATGGGCTCAGATTCAGGGTAAGGGCCTTATTCTATTTGGTTCCAGCTTGACTGGAAAGTGAGCTCAGCACATTTGGGGAGGAAGTGTCCTATCCGGAAGGAGCTGTGCAGATTCTGGCTGTGTGTGAGCCTCAGTGCCCCCAGGCCGCAGAGTGTAGGTTCACAGCTGCATCCCCTCAACCCCCAGGATCCGCTTTAGCAAGGCAAGGAGGCAGTGGCACATGATCTGCATAAAGGGAGCGCTGGCTCTGCTTCAGAACCACCACCCCCTTCCTGCCTGGGGAAATGCTGAAAAACCATGTCTGTCCATCTGTCCCTCCAACCCCCATCGGGTACACCCAAGGGATCAGGAGTGTGAGGGTGAAGAGAGCTGTGCTGTGCTCATTGACCAGAACATTTGGGAATGAGCAGATGGATAGATACAGCAAAGGAAAGACCCCAGTTGAAACAACACAGGAACAATGAATCAGGAAGAGTGAATGTGGGACCTATGGACTCTCGGGCCCAGAGTCAGTGACATAGCCACAGAGGACTAGAGTGGAGAGTGACGCGTCCAGCTGATAAGGAGAGAGGGCATATGCACAAGAACAGCCACACTTACAGATAATACCCACTTGACCTAGCTTCAATGATTGAATGATCAGAGCTCAATGAGAAGAAAGAAGAGGGAAAAAAAAGAGTAATCTTACACAATTTGATGAACTTGACCTACACATATGGATGCAGTAGCTCAAAAGAGGGAACAAATCTTTACAGCGAGGATCATTCCCACCCCTTCCATACACAGAGTTGACAGGCATGGGCAACTTGGACATTGGCTACCCAAAATGGGGGAAGGGGGACCTACAAAGGCAAGAAGTTTTCAAGAGGGAGCCTAGATCCAGAGGGCACGGAGGAAGGTAGAATCTCCACTGAGTAGTATCCAATCTGTCTGGGCGGGGCT